CTTCAGCAGGTCTCGTGTGCATCGGCTAATTTCCCAGAGATTCAGGGGTCCGTGACATTTAGGGGGCCGGGTTGCATCTTAAAGCCGGGGGCTGTAATCCCTATTTTGCCATTTATTATGCAGTGGATTTATGCTACAACACAGGCAGACAGATACAACATTGTTGGCATTGTGATGCTGAGTTCAGCCTCACAGAGCAGAGAGTCGTCATAAATCATGACAATCACTCCTCACCCTCTTCTCTGGCCTCATCATGTGCTGTCGCCAGCCTTTTGCTGCCTGCATCAAAAATGCAATCACCCTCCACCCCACCCGCAGACTCCTGTAAATCCCAGCGAGCTGAGCCACAGACACACACACGCAGAGACATCCCAGTAAGCATTTCTGCAGTTATAGATAGACTGCTGGTGGAGAGTTTCCACAGACGGCATGTCCGAGCTGAACTGAATGTGGCTGCACACAAAACAAACACAAACACACCAGAGCCGTGTGACTAACGCAGCAGTCTGAGAGATCAGCTGCCAACACGCTGCCAACGGCCACTGAGAGGAAGCAGGAGAGCAGTCGACAGAGAGCCGCAAAGTCTCAACGCTGATGTGAAGCCAAACTCAGAAGAAGAAGAAGAAAGAAAACAAGAAAAGAAAGAAAACACCAGAGTAAAAAAAATAAAATAAAAAACTTAACAGCATGTGTTGAAGTTTGGAACATCGTTAGGTCTGGTAAAAATTAGATAAGTACTTTTTGTTTTTTTTTGTCAGGAATATTTTAGCAGACAGACCTTTTCTACGATGAATATAAATTACAGCTGAGTTAGCTATATTCAAAGTAAGGAGTAGGGTTTCATGTCTAAATTACAGCTGAGTTAGCTATATTCAGGAGTAGGGTTTCATGTGGTCAATAATTTGTTTGTGGACACTACCCTTGTCAATAGCGTAATTTCTAATAAGAGACACCATTTTTGAAACCCTCACAACCCCTTCTAATGCTAATCTTTCTTTGGTAAACTGTTTTTTTTTTTCTAAATATTAGGAAAATGTATCGAAGAATTTAGAAAACTGACCCAAACCTTTGTTTTTCTTTTTGTTGGCAGTAGTCCTGTTAGAGTGCTGTCTATTATCTATAGACAACATTTAGCTCATCATTATTGTAAATCACATTTGCATTTAAACTGCAAGTTTCCATTAACTTTAATCTGCTTTTCTGCCAAGTTCTACGATTCAGGGTTTACAAACTGTCAAAATAACTAATATTATTATTACTTTTAAAACCCCATATTTTTCATCTGCTCTAAATAAACTGATCACTTCCTGATTTTTCGGTTTATTCTTTACTGTCACTCACTTGGTTTTTCAAGCGCAACAATTTACGTTAACTGTTAGTTACAGATTTTTTGTGATTTTTTTTGTACTGTGTTCTATCACTGACAGCTGAGGACATTGGAAAACGTTTCTCGTTTTAAACTTTTTTTTTTTGGCGGGGGGGGTGGGGGGGGGGTGAGCTACGACTGTGCTAACAAACTCGTGTTCAGAATTTGCCTTGAAAACCCAAATCTTTCCATTTTGTCAAAACACCATTGCTGCCATGAAGATAAACTGGAGCTCTTTCTACTTTCCACTTTTTCTGAATAAAGCCTTTCAATTCAATGGAGACGAAACAGAAAGTGAGCTCACCCTGACACCTCACTCCTTTCTACACGAAGTACAGTATTAGAAATGCAAGGATACGTGAAGTTTTTTGTTTTTGCTCCTGTGATTAATTAATGACTATGTTCTTTCTTGACTGTTTACTATTTTGTTAATTGTTAGCTATCTTTTACCCCATATACCCCAAGATTCTGGATGCAAAACCACCAGGTGCGTATATCCAAGGATGAGCTGCATCAGAAAGGGCATTTGGTCTAAAAACTCCAGGCTCTGGAGTTTGTGTTTTTTTAAACTTTTTTAAACACTGGTACGAGATATGGCAAACTCATGTTTGAAATTTTATTCTTGTACATTTTATCTAA